TATAAAATTATTGACATTAAAATTAATAGTGCGCTGTAAAGTTAACTGTTATGAATGGTTTTATAACTATGAAAGGATGTTCTTCAAATAATATCAAGAGAAACTTGATTCAATAACCAAAAAATGTTGATTCATGTCGATAGCTCCCGAGTTTCGCTATGTAATTCTGGCTTGATAAGCAATGAAGAAATGCATGCATAAAATCAAGAAAATGCCTTTACAAACCTCTTCAATTTTTTCCCGTCCTTGACAAATGAGCCAATCTGCTTGTTTTTCCAGCAAAATCCTCTGTGTAGTTATATTCTGATAGGAAACAGTGTGCGTGACAAAAGCTCGGGGTTGTCCCCGGGGCTGGCAAATGCCCGGGCCCTGAGCAGCGCAAAATTTGCAAATGCCCCACCCCCGGGACTGACAAGGCGGGCAAATGCCCTGCAGTAGCTCGGGGGGTGGGGGGGGGGGGCGGGGGAGCTGCGCCCACACAGCTGGAATTGACTGATGCTTAAAGAAAAAATCCTGAGCTTTCCTTCTACTTTGGAGCCTGGAACAGGCTATAAACGAAGGAACATTTCATTAAAAGTAGGAATAAATTTGAACCACAACAAAGATAGTAAAAAGTGCGTCAGGAGATGCGCGCCGTTTATACTGACTATAATTTTGTAACCGCGCAAAAACCAGCAGACAAGCAGGTCTGTTTTCGGAACGTCCAATCTGGTTGAATAGCGCTACTAGACGGATAAATGTCCATTCTGTGGATAAGTTTTAGGAGAACAAACTGCGTTTTCTACTGTTAAGATTATCCATCGAGAGGTGTTTTGAACGACCGGCTTGAACCGTAGCGAACTGCGCTCGATCGAGTTCCAGGGGAAAGAAAACAGCTAAAATATCTTCAATACAACATAATGATCACCTTACCTTCAATTTTTTGTCCTTAAGATATATAATTTCCTCAATTTTATGTTCAGAACTGCTTGAAATCTGTGCATTAAGGTAATGAACAATGAGGCATTTATAGAGCGCCAACAACCGCCATTTTGATTCTTAACTTAGTCCCAGTTCTCTACACCTTCATGGCTTGGCCGCGTAGCACTGGAACCAAGTTTCGCCATTGACATGGACATGACTCAGTATTCAAGTAAACTGCTCATTAATCTTTTTCTTCTTGTTTTCATACACATAACAAACTGTCTCTGCAGGTAAGGTTGTTTCATTTTCGTTTTATACCCTCCGCGTTACCCTCTCCTCAACCAGGAGCCCATGGGCTCCTGCCTCAACCCCATTTTGTCTTGTCCCTCTCGCCTTTACCCAGATCCCTCACTAGAGAGTCTGGTCACCTGGAAAAAAAAGGATTTTAACAAAAAAACCCGGGAGGTTATGGATTAAAAATGACGAGAGTATGCTGTATCTGGTATTTTGTATGTCCAAAGGGCCTTTATGAGGTTAGCTTCTGTCTTACACTGATCACGATCTCCCTGAAGGTGCTGATTCTGAATGCGGTCTTAGTTTGGACCCGGTAGGAAAATCTAACTTTGTGTTTGACTATTTCTGTCTCAAGGTAACATGTACCGTAGATCATAGAGGCGTTCAAAATATCCGGGGGGAATTCCAAAACGTTTTCTATGAGGACGCCCCGCCCTCAAGAACATTTACCCCTTACCTCTTTATATCCCATTGTTGACAGAAAATGAGCCACTTTCACATACCTAGCCTAGTTTAAAGCTTTGCACCCCTTTTAACGGCTGTAAATGTACCAGTATGCAGTAAGTTTTCTCTACTTTTTAACAGCCATAAAATGCATCTGTTAGCCCATTTAATGTGGGTTCATTTACAGACCGAAATGACAGATTTCCCACCTACCCTTTTATATACCCGAAGCCTACTCCTTGTGGGCGGAGCTCCCCGTATAGGCCATTATATCCCCTCGGGTCAAAATGATTGTCAGATTTTTTTCATGTGGTACCGTTAAATTTAAAAAAAAGTAAGCGAAAGTTTAATTTGGAGGGTTTCTCGAGTTTTAATCAATGCACTCTACAGATTAAAAGAGTTAAAGCAGCGTTTTGCCGATGCTACACCGTCATGTCACGTTTTGAGAGAATTTCTATAGCTCATCGTAAATACACTTGTTCTTTCCTCATCGTAGCTTGATGAAGAATAACACAAAAACTGCCGGGTGATAAACATGAGTAGAAAATTCATAGAGGGAAAAAACTTCACACTTAAGGTTTCGTCTACTAAAGGAAACATAAACTAAAAGACATATTTTTCGCGCTGTGCGTTTTTCTAAGTTTATCACCGCAGGTTGCGTGTTATTTCTGAGCTACATTCTGGATTTTTCGAGGTGAGATCTTTCGCTAGCTGGACATTATTTCAGAACATACTAATTTGGGTTTCATCCAACGCTTACCAGATATAATACTAGGTTATTATAATTTCGAGGCAATTATTAACGTTCCTTGATAATTAAACTTTTCTAGTTTATTTTAACATTCCCTTAGTAATCATATCAATTTTGGTTCATTTAAGTATTTGTATTTGCACAAGTCCAATACAACGACTCCAAACATTTTGGAGATGTTATTAAGCATTAAAAGTTACAATGTCGTAACACATTAAAAGAAGCATGTATACAAATTGGTTTCGTCGTCCATGCAACAGTAAAAATTTTAAGCTATTTACATGTTGATAAATAAGCAGGATGATACAAATTAACTTACTTAATTCGAGGTTGAAGAAATTAATTTATAAGGAGGTCGGTTAACATCATTTCAACAATATACATTCTGAACGCCTTGTAATCCCTTTTTGGAAATGATATTGGAAGATGCAATGTTAAAAGACTAGGACATTTAAAGAAAGTAAGTGTATTTAGAATGAATTTGAAAATAAGAAAACTTATTTAGTATACACAATTCACACTAGCAAGGGCAACTTTCGATACTTCGAATTTGTTGCCGGTCAAGATCATGAAGTAAGAAATTGTGCTCAATATGTGGCCTGGCAGATTATATCCCGCAAAAAATTTGTTTAACTTTTTCGGGTTAAATACTATGATGAGTAAATGAATGTCTCCTAAAGCTCTTGACATCGAATATGGTTTCATGCAGTTTCTTCGGCGTAAAACATAATGCACGATATTGAATAGTTTCTTTCTGTTTTGAGTGCGCAGTCAAACAAACAGAAAACAACCCATTTTACAGTGAATCATTTTAGGTTTGTGGGAAACTGCCCAACTACCCCTCCCCTAAGCCATTATTTTGCCCTAAGTGAGAAGCAAGTGTTAATGTAAGCTTAGGGGAGGGGTAGCTGGGCAGTTTCCAAGAAACCTAAATTCATCCTTTACAGTTACAGGTGAAAACGAGGCTGGAGTTGACCTTTGATATAACCCTTTCTGCTTTATTATGTAAATCATATTTTCTTATGCTAACAAGTCAGGCTCCTGAACAAGTATATTTTTAAGCACAATTTCCATTACAAAAGGAGGTTTGTATCAAAACCAGTGATCAACCTCAGCCTCACCTTCACTCAAAGGCTAGGATACTAAGTCCACAACTGTAAAATGGTCTTGTATAAAAAACAAAACAAAAAAAATTTGTCAAAAAATATGACGAAATAAAAGAAGAATAATTTTGCTGACAAGCAATGGAAATTAGCCACAAACTAGTTCTGTGATAACTCTTCAGTCTAGTTAGGGTTTTAACGGGGCTTATTCGGCCCACAGTTTTGGCTGGTTTTGCTAGTGGAGACATGAAAGAAATGGTACATTTCATAATTCGAGAACTGTTATACTAAGTGTTGCTGTCGATGACAAGAAGAAAACTAGCAAGGACAGAAATTATCTCAACANTTGTCGTGTCTCTGCATGTTGGGCAATCCCTGAATATTGTGTTTATTCGGCCAAGAGGGGGCACCGAAGGTGAAGTTATTCATCTGTTGTGACGCAGGAGGAGCTTGGCCAGATGCCTTTGGTAGATCTTGAACTTGTTGAAGCGGGGGTGAAGGTGTTTTTCTCTTCACCGGTGGCTTCGCCTTGTTCTGGGCTCCTTGCTGTTGTTTGTTTTGCTGTCTAAATTTAGCTCTTCTGTTTTTAAACCATACCTTGGAGAAAGGAAGAAAGAAAAAGGAATGAAAATTATGGAATGTTTGATAAAATCTTGATAAACCTGACATTTCCGTCAAATATGTTTATCTGTCATTCTTGTCATGACCTTAAATATAACTATCAGCATAGAGCTTTAATAAGGGTGAACAAAAACAATTTGAATGTGTACAATCCAAATGTTGGCTGGTCTTCAGGCAAAGGTGCGAAAAATTGTTAGGTATTTAACAGGAAGTTGTAAGTATTATAGATATGGGCACAAACGCTAACCAGTCTAACCAGACAAATACATGGGCGAGGTCATGCGATTGGATCATGAGTTGCGACTACATTCGATCACATCGATGGCCTAAACTAAAGGAAAGTTCTTGACAAAGCTTGCCTCGAAGAAGAAAAAGTAAAATGTAAGTCATGAAAGCTTTTTGAAAGATAGAAACATTCGCGTGAGTCTAAATAAAAATTGACGACGCCCGGTACTTGAAAGGGCAAGAATTTCAAACTGTGAGGATAACACACTGCACTTTTGCCATCTCACGATAGCAATTTGTTGTGTTTACACCTTTCTGATTTGAGGTGCTGCAAGCCATAAAGCATATTAAACTCTTAAACGCCTTCTCTTCAACTGATGTGCGTCTATTTTTAAGTCGATGAGAATTCTAAATCAAAGTATCGCACTACAATACATTTCGTGCGAGTTTTTCAACACGTGTTAATAGAGTCATTTGATGCCAGTCGGCCGAAGATGTCGCCGATGTGGGCGTCCAGTTGTGAGATAACAGTCCCTTTGTAAATAAAGAAACACTAATAACAGCATAATGTGTGGATAATTAAGTGACTGCAATCCCCTAACAACCAGGTTACGCCTCTTTTTAAACAAATCAATAGGATTTTAGACCGATCTTTCATCTTCATCAAATGATAATCGTTTCCGTGCGCTACGCATGCGCAATAGAGAGTAATAATGTCCATGCGGTTGTGGAATTTTTCAAAAAGCAAAGTAAGTAAAAGTAAAGTAAGTAAAAGCTTTATTAATGTGTCAATGTATTTAGTTTTCACAATTAATTGGGGACACAAAAGTAAAATATGCCCAAAAAATACTGTTTGCAAAATAATCAGAAATTTTTCTAGCTTGATCATGAATAAGGTAATCACAAAGAACTGAATGGTAAAACAATGTTCTCCTGAACTGAAATTGTTATCACGTTTTCGTGCTACTTTAAACGAGAGCGAGACTTGGAAACATGTCTCTGAATGCGTTAAGGAAATAATACAATAAAAAAAACCACATCAAATATCTTTGGTTTTGTGGCCTGCTCACTGTGAACTTAATACAATTAGCACCGCTCAATGTTATCAGAGCTGTTGGAAAGAAATGAATTTAATTTGATGGTTTTCTTTAGTATGCGGAAGCGAATGCAAAGCATTTAAATGATAATTACTCAGCTGTACTAACCTGTACCCTACTTTCTGGAAGATTAATTTTCGTTGCGACTTCTTCTCTCATGAAGATATCAGGATATTTTGTCTTAGCGAAGAGCTCGTCGAGAATTTCCAGCTGGGCTTTCGTGAACGTTG